TGTTTAGCAGCAGCCTTTATACGATACAATATAATTGTTCTTTAAGTTACAGTTTCTCTCACATTTCTCTAACACCTGACATGTTACACTTACTAGTACATTCCCTTCTGCCTGTATCCTATCTCTGTTCAACACCAGGGCAAGTCTTTGCAACTGCATATCTGCCTTGGGCCAGGCACTATCTTATGTTCTGCCTACCAGGAATAACAGTGTCCTTGCCACTCCGGCAACCTGTAATCTGACTCCAAAATCGTATCTTAGCTAGCATCTGCTTTCATGCACCACTTCTGGTATCAACTCTTCCAGGTTGGGCTCCTCAGGAAGCGGAAATCTAGGTGGGAATTAGCATGCAGGAGGTTTATTAGGGAGCATTGTTGGGGTGGGTAGGAAAGATATCAAAATTGAGCAGAGGGAGAAGTTGGGCTGTGATGCATCTAACCAAGGCCTTAGGAAACCAACCAGGAGATCTGAACTTGGAATGAACCTTCTGACTTGCCCAAGTTGGGGTGAAGAACTGGGTCTTTACAGCCCCTACATTAACCAGTCATTGAATGTGGGCTTTCCCGGGAAAGGAAAGGGCATGACCTTGGTTGAACAATCTCTTCAGCTGAGGCAGCTCAGGAAGAAGGTGGGCAGCCCAGGGCTGTCTGTCAATAAGGCCCCCAGCAGCTAGAGGAATTAATCCTTCAGTTTTGAGGAGGGACCTGAGAAGTGCATCATGTCATCCACGATGGCCTGAGATGCCCTTCCTGGTTTATCTAACAAACATCTACTCACATTTCAAGATTCAGCTCAGGGCCGGGTGCAGTGGCTCACGCCTGTAATCCCAGGACTTTGGGAGGCCGAGGTGGGTGGAACACGAGCTCAAGAGATCGACACCATCGTGGCTCGATCTCTATTAAGAGACCCCGTCTCTATTAAAAATACAAAAAAAAAAAAAAAAATTAGCTGGGCATGGTGGCGGGTGCCTGTAGTCCCAGCTACTCGGGAAGCTGAGGCAGGAGAATGGCGTGAACCTGGGAGGCGGAGCTTGCAGTGAGCGGAGATCGCGCCGCTGCGCTGCACTCCAGCCTGGGCGACAGAGCGAGACTCCGTCTCAAAAAAAAAAAAAAAAAAAAAGATTCAGCTCAGACTCCTCCTCCATGAAGCTTCTTCTGACCTCCCTTTTCTCAGTAGCACCGATCACTCTCCTGCGCACTCATCATACTTTCTATGTGGTTCTCTCAGTGCCCCATAGCACTTAGTGCTTCTGAGTAGCACACTCTACTAAGTAGTCCCTAAAGATATCATTAGACTGGGGTGCCATATGGCTATTGCCGCAAATTATGATGAGCCTGGGTCAGCAAGAAAAGACAGGCAAGTGTACAATCCTGCTTTTAAGAGTTTCCATTGAAAATGGTTAAAAAATGTTTTAGATGCTGCAAGAGGTGACATTCACCCGTTTGTTAAATCTCAATTTCATGTACATATCTGATAGGTCTTTCAAGATGTCTGAAAATGCTACAAAATCTTCAATAAATACATTTTGGTTGATTTTATTCTAATCTAGCAGGGAAAAAGAGTTGCTTACAAAACATGATGTAAAGCCTGAAGGAATGAACACTCAATTATTGGCTTTGGGAGTTTTTAGAACTTTGCTCAATGTAATGAGAAACTTTAGAAGCAAACACAGCAGGATAGCCTCCAGTGTCCCAGAAACCTCCTCAGCGTGTCCTCTGTCCCTGCTCCCTGCAAAGTCATTTTACTGATACACCCTCAAATTTTGGAGAACCCATTCATATTAACAAATTGGAAAGAAACTTAGGTGAGCTGGATGTGTTTTGATTAAACCCTTGGATCCCTTCACCGCATCTTTTAGTGAGGGGAGTACGTATCTGTGGTTGAAGCTGTCAATATCCTTCATCAAGTACTTATTTCTCCAGTCGTGCAGGTATTGGTTAGCACTCACCCGTCTGCATCTTATATTTTGCTATTTGAAATTTCCTAAAATAAGGAAGTGAAAGCAATGTGTTTTATATTGTGCCTTGGCATATTTTTCTTCCATACCACATCATAGGTAGTATAATACCATTTCTCTTGAAATAGTCTTATGGTAACATATTAATGTTTCCAAAGCATTTTATTATTTATTTATTTACATACTTATAGAAGGAAGGGAACTAACATTTATTGACCAATGACTGTATACCAGGCACTGTGCTAAGGGCTTTACTTAATTATTTAATCCTCAAAAAAATATTAAGAAATAATTACTAACATTATCTCCAGTTTACAGATGAGAAAACTGAAAATAGATTAACAGTTTTGCCCAAATCTATGTATCATAAACAGGTAGAGAATGGTGGGGCAAAGATTTGACATCATCTTTTCATGACAACACTACACACCGCATCCCTTAGGTTACGTTCCGGTTCTAAATTATAGCACAAGTTCATTCTAAGTCCTTAGCTGTCCAGGGCTCTTTACCGTGGACTCAAACTTGCCTAGCTTTTTTATATTTCCCGATTCCTTCAATGCTTTGCTCTAGCCATAATGAATGCCACATGATTTACAGAATCCTCTATGGCCTCTCTTCTTCTGAGCTTGCTTCTTGGAATTGTCTTTTATCTGTCCCATTCTCTTGAATAATCTTACTCATCCTCCATGTCTCAGCTGAAGATAGGGGGCTTTCCATCTTCTCCGAAGACTGGATTAGAAGCTCTGGGTATCCCAGACCATCCACATGACCCCAGTGGTATGCACACCGTACTTCTTTTCTGCCTGTTCTACCAGGCAACCTCCATGAAAGTAAGGACTGTCTGCCATTGTGTCTACAACATCATTACTGAAGGTATGTTCATTATATTCTTGCTGCAAAGTGAATGAAGATACCCTTGCTCCCTGGCCTTTGCACTGTGCTGTTTCTTCTGCTCCACTCTCTTCCTTTTTTCTGGTTAATTCTCATGTGTGCTGTGTATCTCTGTCAACATTCTCTGCTTCTGAAGCTGCAGCTGGGTTGGGTGCTCCTCCTAGGTGTTTCACAGTATCCAGCTCTTCTCTCAAGCTCATCATTCATCTTGCACTGTTGTCACTGCTTCTTATTAATTCTGAAAATTCCTCGAGGGCAGAGTTTATATCTTTTTTTATTTAACTTTTTAATTTTGTTTTCATTTGACACATTATGGTACATATTTATGGGATACATTGTGATGTTTCCATACATATACTGTATAGTAATCAGATCAGGGTAATTAGCATATCCATTATCTAAAACATTTATCATTTCTTTGTGTTGGAAACTTTCAATATAGTCCTTCTAGCTATTCCAAACTGTGTATTATTGTTTTTAATTTTATATTCAGAGGATACATGTGCAGGTTTGTTACATGGGTATATTGGATGATGCTGGGGTCTGAGCTTCAAGTGAACCCCTCACCCAAATAGTGAACATAATACCCAGTAGGTCATTTTTCAACCCTTCCCTCCCCTCCTTCCCCCATTTTGGAATCCCTAGTGTCTATTGTTTCCATCTTTATGTCCTTGTGTACCCACTGTTTAGCTCCCACTTGTAAGTGAGAACATGCGGTATTTGATTTTCTGTTTGTGCATGAATTCACTTAGGATAATGACCTCCAGCTGTATCCATGTTGCTGCCAAGGACATGTTTTTTTTTTTCTTTTTATGGCTGCATAGTATTCCATGGTGTATGTGTACCAGATTTTCTCTATCCAATCCGCTGTTGATGGGGACTTGGGTTGAATACATGACTCTGATATTGTGAATAGTGCTGCAGTAGCACACGAGTACAGGTGTCTTTGTGATTGAATGATTGATTTTCCTTTGGGTAGATACCCAGTAGTGAGATTGTTGGGTTGAATGTTCATTCTGTTTTTAATTCTTTGAGAAATCTCCATTCTGTTTTCCTTAAGGGTTGAACTGATTTGCATTCCCACCAACAGAGTATAAGTGTTCCCTTTTCTCTGGATCCTTGCCAACATCTCTTATTTTATGACTTTCATAATAATAGCCATTCTGACTGGTGTGAGATGGTATCTCATTGTAGTTTTAATTTGCATTTCTCTGATGACTAGTGATGTGGAGCTTTTTTTAATGTTTGTCGGGCACTTGTATGTCTTCCCAAAGCATTTTTAAATCTCTAGAATAATCTCACGTAAGTGCAGTGCTATATGATTTGGAGTAGAAATTTCTAAAGGCGAATAATGCTCCTTGGACTTAAAGAATGTTTGCTCTAAATTAGATAGTCTATAAAACTGAAAATGCTTTCCTGTTCGAAAGCGTGAAACACTATAATCTCCATGCACCGTGTAGATATCTTTATACATTTCTTCTTGGGAGCTCTGGTTTTTGTTCTGATGTTTGCCATTACAGGTGAAGCAGCATTGTGTAACAACAATTTCCTCCGTGCTATAAAATGGTAAGCCACATGGCAGTTTGCTTGTGATAGGAGAGTTTAGAAAAGGTCCACTGGGAAATTCCAGATCTTCACAGTTCTATCCTCCTCTGTGATTCTCCATTTTCTTTTAATGTATCTTAATTGTATATAATCATTGCTGTCCAGGCAAACTTCTCTGTTGTGCCTCTTCTTTCCTTTGTGTGTGTGTGTAATTTAGTTATTCATGCTAAGAGAGGTTCCCTAAACTCCACCTCTTAAAACTAATAGGGATTTTTCTCATCTTCAGTCTCATGGTTAGAACATATGAATCAACATAATTCTTTCCTAGTATCTACATGCCTTCAAAAGAGAAGATTTGACAGTTGCATGAAGTGGTCGATTTTACACACATAATACCTTGATGAAGAGAGTTTCTTAGCTAGTCACAGTGGCTCACACCTGTAATCCCAGTACTTTGGGAAGCCAAGGCAGGTGGATCGTTTGAGTCCAGGAGTCTGAGACCAACATGGGTACCATGGTGAAACCCTGTCTTTACAAAAAAAAAAATTGGTGTGGTGGCGTATGCCTATAGTTCCAGCTACTCAGGAGGCAGAGGTAGGAGGATCCCTTGATCCTGGGCTGCAGTGAACCATAATTGTGCCACTGCACCCCAGCCTGGGTGACAGAGTGAGACCCTGTCTCAACAGAAGAAAAAAAGAGTTTCTTAAATGTTCAGAGGTATATCAAAAGAATACTAAAAGGATATTTGGTATTGGTAGAAACTTTGTCAACCCCGCAAATCTTTAAGAGTGGGCAATTTGGAAAAGTGTAGAGTGTAGACTAGAGGCACCTGTGATACCTTCAGAGTATAGACTAGAGGTGCCTGTGATACCTTGAGCAGCCCTGTGAGTCAGAAAGTCCAACATGGCAATATGAGGCCAGAGACCAAGTGATGCTTAGGATGCTCTCAGAAGTCCCCTGAACACATTCGACTTAAGCGTGGATGACAGCTCCTTTGGAATTCAAATTACGTTATATCTTCAATATGGATACAAAACTAAGGCTTCAACCAGAATCTGAGGCAAGAGTATAAGTAAAGGCCTATGTATCAAGTTATAAACCAAACTGCTAAATAAAATAACATCTTCCTCCCTTAACAAGTATACTTTCATAACAACCCGAGGGCTGCATTTCCTATGCTGGAGTTCTATGACAGAGCATGGTGGCTTGGGGAAATCTTGCCCTCTGGCCCTCTCTTCCCTTTTCTTCCCATCTCTGACTCTATCCTGTCCCCTCACACCCATGTATGAGCATGGACACTTCAGCCTATACATCCATGCCATCCACCTCCCTGACAAACAGCTGATCCTTGGACACCCCTAGGCATTGGGATATGTACCTGATGTCATGGTCTGTCTTCAGGAATGAACCTGGAGAAATTGCCATTGCAAGGTTTGGAGTAAGGCTTGGAGCCCCTTGGACAGAGAATCCCATCATTCCCTCCATGGATCATGGTCCAGAGAGGAAGACTTGGGCCCTGGATGGGCACGTCCTCCTGGCCCCATGGACTCCAGTTCTAATAGAAGCAAGGCCTCCAACAATCCACCCCCTTGCTCTATGGATTTGAGTAGTTTAAGTTACAGATATACCGTTAGTCATTGAGGGTCTTATTACTAGTGGTCAATAATTTCCACATTTTATTAAATGTACAGATAACAAGGGTTGTGCCATCTCAACCCCTTGACTCATGTTGTATCCTTGCTAAGATAATTCTTATAGGCAAATAACAGATACAGATCATACATTTTACTTTACATGGGAGCATTGCTCTATCCTCTGGCTGTACCCATTTATTCATTATCAGTTGATTTAAGCTGTTAGAACCAACTTTGGTTAGGAATATAGAGAGTAGTTTTAATGCTTTTCTCTTACAGGTTTGGTTTTTCTCTTTTCCTTGATTATAGCACTCTATTTAAGCTGGTTCGCAAACCATCAGTGAAATTCCAGGGACAGCTGAATGGTGCTGGCGGCAAGGGTCCCAGCGAGCCAGACTGGTGGTGTACTGTTAGCCTCCTTCCTGGGTGCTTTGGGCTGTCCCTTACCAGGATCTGATTTGTGACCATTTCTGCCTGTTAGTTAAGCCAAGGCTTAGAGCAGCAAGGGCTTTCCCCATGTATGGTATTTAAATCTCTCAACCCCTACATTACTCTGGTCCTTCTTCCAAAGAACTGTCATTGCCAGCACCCGTATCTCCTACCACTGAAAGTGGCAGAGAGTTTAGCTAACTCCACATGAATGATCAAGTTTTTACATGTTTTTACATTTAATAAAAAGGCAAACTCCACTTTTAAGGATGTGACATAGAGATGTGGTAGCGGAAGTTGCTGTGAAGAACTCTGTCTCAGTTAGAGGCGTCTGCACCTTCAGGAAACCTGGAATTTCTAGAGGCTGTTATTTGCTTACACGTGAGGCAGTGGAGCATAGTGGTTAAGAGCAGGTGGTCTGGCACTGAACTGTGAATTTAAAACCTGGCTCTAGCACTTATCACCAAGACCCAGGTAAGTTATTTAAACTCTCTGTGCTTTATTTCCTCATCTGACAAATGGCAATAGTAACTCCAGATAGTCATATATTAATACATGCAAAGCATTTAGAATAGTACCTGGCACCTTGTAAGTGACAGTGAGTCTTTATTATCTCCTGGGTAGACATACAATATTTCCACATCCTACAGAAGATGTGAGGGTTCAACAAATACCATTTTTAGTGGCAGTGGGAAATGCTTGGTTCCTACTTGTCATTACCTCTTTGGTTTCAATGCATCTTTATGAAGATGATTCATGATCTTGTGCTTGGCTGTGACTGTGGACCATAGATAGCGCTATGTCCAGTCTCCTGGCGCCATCTTCATCACATACTGCTGACCTTCTGTGGCAGGCGAACCCAGGGCAACACATCACTCTTGTCAGAGGGATGGGAGCTCCTATTACACCTCCTCCTGTGAACGGCTTTCAAAAACACTTCTCCTGGAAACACAACAAGTGGTGGCTGCTTTATAAGACTGTTGTGCAAGATCTAAGGCATTCCTTTTCTTTCTTTTAAGCTTCAGTTAAATTAACAAACATTGGTTAAATAAATGACCCATGACCTTTATCTTTTGAATGGTGGAAGATGCTTTCATATTTCTCCCCTCTGACAGCCCAGTTGTGCCTCTCAGTAACAAGTTGCTCTGTCTCAGATTAGTTAGTGGATCTCATCCATTTTAACATGGTACCATCATAAGATTCCATGTAAACATTTTTATAGCCATTAACTCTCAACTCCATCTCCATCCATACAGCAAAATATATGTAGACCCTTCACATTCAAAGGCAAATATAATATCATCATGTCTTCTTCTTCCCTCTGATTCACATCGTGGCATCACAAAAACTCCAGGAGGAGGTACCATTTTCTCTTTCACTTTGAAAATTGCTTGGGCCTGGAGAATTGACATTTAACTGCAAAAAATAAAATAAAATAAAATAAAATAAATTAAAAAAAAACAAATGCGTTAACAACACAATAATATTACATTGAACAATGGGGACAGAAATGTAATATGTAACACATTTTCTTTCAGTCACAGAAGATCTTATTAGACGGAATGCTGAACACAATGACTGTGTCATTTTTTCCCTGGAGGAACTCTCCTTGCATCAGCAAGAAATAGAAAGACTAGAACACATTGATAAATGGTGCCGGGATTTAAAAATTCTCTATCTTCAAAATAATCTTATTGGGAAAATTGGTAAGTTTCAGTATTTAGTTCTTATGGTTTCTTTAACATTGTGAATGAGAGAACTTTGGAAAGTGCTGTGTTATTTTTAGAAGAAGACAATCACTGGAAAAGAATTCCATGGGAAAACAGACACAGCCATCTCTCAGTGGCTGTGTGGGGGACATTTGCCTAAACATTTCTGTGTGTAGTGAAAACAATTTCCAACAAGAAGTTGGGAGAGCAGGTAAAGGTGAGGAACACATTAGTTGACCTGATCATCTAAAAAGACAGAACACATCAGACCTGATTTTTTTTTTTTAAGTTTGAAAGGGAGGAGGTATTTGTCATCGTTTTACATCACACTGCAAGATGAATTTATATGAGAATTGAGGGAGTCCTTGTCAGGTGACTGCAGAATTCAATAGCTAGTTTTGCTATATTTATTGTGACCATATATGCGCAACGCATTGGGTTCAATATTGGGTATTGAGGGGCTTCCAATTTGGAATGGAAATTAGAGGTCAATGCAGGAATCAGGTCAATGAAGATAAAAATAGCATTATAACTGATAAAACTCTTCTAAGAAAGTGGCTTAGACTTGCAGCCAAGTGGGCTTGCTAATATTGCCCTCAAAATTAACTTACCCACCCAGTTACATGCAGAATTGGACAACCACAAGTTTCTCCTACCCAGGTGGGCCTTTGCTTTATGTCAGGAGGTAGGTTGAGACCATGTGCTGTCTGCTGGTAGGAAGATCCCAGAAACCAGGAAAGAGGGTAGGACTGGGCATGCTCAGTTTCTTCTCTTGATTAACCTGTCAGATAAGTTGGTCTTCCTTCCCCCACCACACCTGACTTCTCTCACAGAAGAATGATGAATTAAAGGGCAGAGGGAAGGGAGGCGTGTGGAGTTACTCTAATGGAGGTCCTGCCACATGGACACAGAAGGAGAATCCCCAGGACCCAGAAAGAGAAAGCACAGGCTCTGGCATCCGGTAGACCTGAGTCAGAACACTGCCTCTGCCGTCTTCCTCTACGCAGTGTGAAATTCGACAAGTCAGTGACTTGCCCAAGTCTTAGTTTTGCCATCTGTAAAATGGCTAATAATGCCTAATGTATAAATTGGCATAGGGATTACATGAAATGATATGCTTAGCACTTGCCCACCATGAGGTAAGTACTCATTACAGGATAGCTGCTGTGCTGCTGCTGTTATCAATTTGATCATTTACCCCAGTGTCTCCAGGCTAGCCAAATGAAGGTAGGAGCAGAAAGGAGTTGGAGGAAAAGGGATGGAGTCAGGGCTGATGAGGCAGAGTGAGTGCCAACCCCTGTGTGCCCTGGCACGAGAACCCAGAGGTCAGCTTGCAGGATTATATTTAACTTCCCATGGTGATGTGCAGTGGTTCACAACAGGGGCATTTGGCAATGTCTGGAGGTATTTTTAGTTGTCGCACGTGTATGGGAGGATGGGGAGGGGATACTATTGGCATCTAGTGTACAGAGGCCGGGAATACTGCAAACCACCCTACAGGGTTCAGGATGCACAAACCCCCCACAAGAAAGAGGCCCAAAATGCTAGTATTGCTGAGGTTGAGAAACCCTGGTGATGTGGTTGCTTCTAGTTTCGTGGATAATTGAAAATTGGCTTCAGGCTTGCAAAAAGCCTAGATTTGCATCATTTTTGGAACATTTACTAAAATTCTCTGTATTTTTTCAGTTAATTATTTTTGGCATCTTTAACTTGACCAGAAATTAGAAACTCTGGCACATTGTTCAATTAAAAAGGCTATTACAGAAAACCACCAGCTTTTATGCATGGGGGCATGAAAGAACGGTTCTAATTGTACAGATCTAAAAGAGTTCCCAAAATTTTAATCTCCACAGCTGGGTCCATCACAATTACTAATTAGGAGCATGGTATTTCAGTCCTTTTCAGAGCTGTGAGAAAGCGTAAATTTTTGCTTCCAAAGTACTCTTAAATTAAACACTCTTTTAAATCCTAATAATGGGATTTTTCAGTGCTACTCCACCCATAGGCATTTAGGCACTTATTTAGCAAGTAAAACCACCCCTCTAGGATTCAGACTCGCTCTTGTGCCATTGAGGTAGAAGTTTGTGAAGCAATTGCCTTTCCTAAAGCCCTGTTGCCCCTGGGAAGACACAGATGGTCTGCGGAGGAAGGTGCTGCTTAGAGGTGACCCAAGAGGGAGCCCAGGGGCCATGTGGAGTCTTGTCAAGTGCCCTGCCCCCAGACCTACTGAATCAGAACCTGTGGGCTCCTGGAATCAACCCTTTCAACAGCTTCCCAATGGGCTGCATGCCTGGTCCAAACTGAGAGCCACAGAGCTTCTTAAATCCCAGAAGGCAGAGGGTCTACTCCAAGTTCACGGGCCTGCTTAGTTGATGAGAACTGTTTCTAGAATGGTCTCGCTAGAACTCGGAGTCCCTTTTCACTACCCAAGAGGCTCTTCCATTTTGACTTACAGAGTCTTTTTTTTCCCTCTCTGTCCAAGTTGGGCCCTGTGGTTTTGAGGAATTAACTTAGGAAACCCTCCCTGAGCAAATCTTACTTTTCTATCATATGACTTCTTTAGCGTTTACAGGGTAGATGCATATAACAAAGGTGGAGAAGGGAAATCCTATTTTGAAGAGGTATTTTATTGTGGGCTGGCCATTTTAACAATAATAAAGTATTTTGTTCAGGATGTGGATGAGACTCTCATAGTTCTTAGCACATAGAAACCTCCAAATCTGCTGGGCACGGTGGCTCACGCCTGTAATCCCAACACTTTAGGAGGCTGAGGTGGGCGGATCACAAGATCAGGAGATCGAGACCATCCTGGCTAACACAGTGAAACTCTGACTCCAATAAAAATACAAAAATTAGCCGGGTATGGTGGCGGATGCCTGTAGTACCAGCTACTCGGGAGGCTGAGGCAGGAGAATGGTGTGAACCCGGCAGGTGGAGCTTGCAGTGAGCCAAGATTGTGCCACTGCACTCCAGCCTGGGCAACAGAGTGAGACTCCGTCACTTAAAAAAAAAAAAAAAAAAAAAAAAAAGAAACTTCCTTATCTTTGACTCTTGAATGCTCAGATGTTTCTAAAGAGCTTTTTCAAACATTAGGATTACTTAGAATAATTTAAATTCTGAGAGAAACGTTTGTAGTTTTTTCCCCCAAATCCTCCATTTAAACAATGCATAAATTGAGATTCAGAGATGTGAACTGTTATGTTCAGGTCTATGGAAATGAATATATGGTGTTTTGTACATTTTAGATTAACTATTAGTGGTGATAAGGGTGATGATTATAAATCACCATGTTTGAGCTTCATGATACCCCTGAGAAATGGGCAGAGGATGCACTAATTGAGTGAGGCTGCCCCCAGTGCACATTCCTTAGCAAAGTTTTCTACATTCCTGTCATCTTAGAAAGGACTGTTCTTTTAAAGTGTACTACAATGATTTAGTTCCAGGTTCTGGAGTCAAATTTCCTAGCTCTACCACTTAACCTTGGACAAGTGAATTAATTCTCTGTACCTTGGCATTGTGATTGGTAAGAAGGAGATGGTAGTTTTGACCTCATAGGTTTATGATGAGGATTAAATAAGGTAATATGTACTAAATGCTTAGAACATTGTGTGACATGTGATAAGCACTCTTGCTATGGTATTATTCACTGTTTTTCAAAGGCCCCATTCTGCAGCAGTTCTGTGACTTGTTTATCCTTGTTGTTCTGCCTGTATGAGCTTTCATGTTTATTAAATAAAATAATTCTGTATCAGGTTGATTTTGGTTTCAAGTCAAAGAAACCCAACTAAATGTGGCAGAACAGTAAGGAAGTCAATTATCTTACCCAACTTTAAGTCTAGAGGTAGAGCAGACTCCAGAATCAGACAGGGTTGGTCGATTCCTTCTCTCTGCTCTACCAGCTCTCAGGCTTTGTCCTGCAGCTGCTTCCCTTATGATCGAGTGTAAGTATCAATAGAGATAGTAATTCCTTATTAACATCCAGCAGGAAATAGAGATAAGAACCCCTCAAGCATGGAATATAGATCCTTCCCTTTTATCTGATTAGGAGCACTAGGTGTGCATGTCCTCTCCTGTATCACACAGTTGTCAAGAGACTGCCATGGGCTGTTTGGCTTAAACTTAGGTTCCTGAGCCATCACTAGCGAGAGAGATTGGATTGTCATGCACTGGCCCAACTTGGCTAAACCTAATTGCCTGGAGTTAGGGCTAGGTAGAGACATGAGCAAAACTGGGTGTCATCAGGAAGGATGGAGGGAGCAATGGGTCCTCCTTAGGCAGCCACCATGTCTGATGTACAGGTATAGATTTGGAAAAGCAACATGGTTTTGATAACCATAATAATAATCTTTAGATTTTCTTTATTATTTTAGTAATAGATTACATAAAAGTGTCTTTATTTTGAAGATTATCTTAATTACATTATCTTGTATTTCAGAAAATGTTAGCAAACTCAAGAAACTTGAATATTTGAATTTAGCTTTAAACAACATTGAAAAAATAGAAAACTTGGAAGGTAAGAATGTTTCTTCTATTATGCTATTATGAATTAAAATTGAGATTTAAAGTTAGAAGGTCAGGTGCGGTGGCTCATTCCTGTAATCCCAGCACTTTGGGAGGCCAAGGCAGGCAGATCACCTGAAGTCAGGAGTTCGAGACCAGTCTGACCAATATGATGAAACCCCATCTCTACTAAAAATACAAATTTTAGCCAGGTGTGGTGGCATGCACTTGTAATTCCAGCTACTCAGGAGGCTGAGACAGAATTGCTTGAACCCTGGAGGCGGAGGTTGCAGTGAGCTAAGATCGCGCCATTGCACTCCAGCCTGAACAACAAGAGCGAAACTCCGTGACCGCCCCCCACCCAAAAAAGAAAAAAGTTAGATTTAAGCAGTCTTGTATAAAAATAGGTATGCTTTTAAAATTAACATTTTACATACATCTTACAGTTATTCTTCTTATAAAAATTCAAGCAATAAGGTGATATGTAAATTCAAAAATGGAAGTCCACTTTACCCCTTCCTAACCTAGCCTCCTCAGAGGTAGCCAGAATTAACACTTGGGTATATACAGGATGGTTTTATTTCATTTTGCCTTCTATTAATGGTATCATACTATGAGTGTTGTTTTGAAAATTAGTTTTTTCCCTACAATTACCTTGTTTTTTTTGAAATCCAGGAAAGGGGGTGTGGGGCTACGTACTGGAATCATTGTAGACTGATTTATCTAACCATCTGTCTGCAAATGGACATTTGGGTGCGTTCCAGTGTTTTGCTATAAAAAGCATGGCTACAGTGAGCCTCCTTCTACATTTTACTTTGTGTACTTGTGCACAGTTTTTTCTAGGACAGACACTTAGAAATGGAATTCCTGCATTTAAATCAGCATATTTTGAAAGGTGCTGCCAAATTGTTCTCCAAAATGTTTATTGTATCAATTTGTACTTATACGGATAGTCCATGTGAGTACCAACTTCTACACAGCTTCACTAATACTTTCTATAAACAATATTTTTTAAGATAGGAAGATATTTTTGTTTATTTTTATAGTAGCCATCCTATCCTAATAGGTGTGAAGTGGTATGTTATTGTGCTTCTAATTTGCGTTTACCTAATGACTAATGATGTTGAGCATTTTTTATGTGCTTACTGGCCATTTGAATATTTTCTTTGGAAAAATGTTTATTCAAAGCTTTGACCCATTTTTAAATTAGTTATACTATTTGTCTTTTCACTGCTAAGTTGTAAGTGTACTTTATATATTCTAGATGCTAGACTTTGACCAGATATTTGATTTGCAGATATATTCTTCCAATTTGCAGGTTTTCTTTTCAACTTTCGTGATGGTGACCTCTGGGGCACAATTGTTCTTAGTTTTGTCTGTAGTTTTTTTGTTTGTTTGTTTGTTTTCCCTTTAAGTGTCTTTGGTTTTACTGTCTGGAGAATATGGGCCTTTATAGAATGAGTTGAGAAGTGCTTCTTAATCAATTTTTTTCGAAGAGCTTGTAAAAAATTTGTGTTAATTCCTTTTTAAATATTTGTTAGAATACACCAGGAAAGCCATCTGGTCCTGGACCTTTCTTTGGGAAAATTTATTGATTATTAATTTAATCTCTTTATTTCTTGTAGGTCTATTCAGATTTTCTGTTTCTTCTTGACTCAGTTTTGGAAAGTTATGTCTTTCTAGAATTTGTCTATTTCACTTAGGTTAGCTCATTTTTCACCATACAGTTGTTTTTACTACTCCCTTGTCATCTTTTTCATTTTTTTTAATGTCAACAGTAAAGTCTTATCTGTCATTCCTGATTTACTAAATTTGAGTGTTCTCTTTTTTTTCTGGTTAATGTGTAGCTAACAGTTTGTCAATTTGGTCAATCTTTTCAAAGAACCAACTTTTGATTTTGTTGATTTTGTCTATTGTTTTATATTCTCTATTTTGTTTGTTTCCATTTTAATCCTTATTATTTCTTTCTCTTTGTGTTTTCTCTTTTTTCTAGTTTCTTAAGACAGACAATTAGGTTATTGATTTGAGTCATTCTTTTTTATGGAGGTATAAATAAAATTATATGAATTTTCCTCTGAGCATTATTTTTTTTGCATCTGTTTTGATATGTTGTGCTTTTGTGTTAATTAATCTCAAAGTATTTTCTGATTTTTTTTGCAATTTTTTTCTTTAACCCATTACTTATATAGCAGTGTTAATTTCCACATCTTTGTGACTTTCCAACATTTTTTTATTTTACTGATTTCTAGTTTCATTCCATTGAGATCAAATAAATACTTTCTTTGATTTTAATTACTTTTAGCTTATTGAGACTTGTTTTATGGCCCAACATTTTATCTATCCTAGAGGCTGTTCTGTGTACATTTGAGAAGAATGTACATTCTGCTGTTCTTGGGTTTAATGCTCTAAATATGCGTGTTAGGTCTAGCCTTTTGTTTCTTTCTTTCCTACTCTTCTATTTCCTTGCTGATATTCTGTCTAATTGTTTTATCTATTATTAAAAGCAGGTTATTGATGTCTCCAACTATTATTGTTGAATTGTCTCTAGCTCTCTTCAATAATGTCAGTTTTTGCTTTATGTATTTTGGGACTCTGCTCTTAGGTGCATATATGTTTATAATTATTTTATCTTTTTGATGAATTGATGTTATCATTAAATGTCATTTTTTGTCTATAGTAACAATGTTTGCCTTAAAGTTTATTTTGTCAGGTATTGATATAGTCACTCCAGCTCTCCCTTTTTTCTTTTTGGTTGCCATTTGTATGGTATAACTTTTCCTATCTTTTACCTTTCCAACTATTTCTATCTTTTAATCTAAAATGCTTCTCTTTAAATAATGTATAGATGAATCATATTTTGATTTTTAATCTATCCTGTCAATCTCTGCCTTTTAATTGGGGAGATTAACCCATTTACACTTAATGTAATTAGCAATAAGGCAGAATCTGTGTCTGTTATTTGCAATGTTTTTCTATATATCTTATGTCAAACTTGTTCTGTTTTTGGATTACTGTTTTCATTTTTGTTATTTTTGTGTGTACCATTTTAATTCCCTTGTTCTTTCTTTTATGTGTATTTTTGAGTTTTTTTAGTGGTTTCCATGGGAATTAAAATTCTAGTTTAAATTAATACCAACTTCATTTCAATAGTATACAGACTTTGCTCCTGTATAGTTTAGTTTCCCTCTCTTCATTTATGCTGTTATGGTCACATATCACGTCTTCACATATCATATGCCTATTAACATAGATTTATAATTATTTCTTTTTGCAGTCATCTTTTAAATAATTTAGCAGAAGAAAATAGGTACAAACAAAAATGAATTTATGTTGTCTTTTATATTTACTTATATAGTTACCTTTAGTAATTGTTCTTATTTTATTAAATGAATTTGAGTTTCTCCCTAGTGTCTTTTCATTTCAGCCTGAAATACACTCTTTACTATTTCTTGTAGCATAAATCTGTTAGTGAAAAACTCTCATTTTTGTCTATCTAAAAATATCTTAATTTATTTTCTATTTTTGAAGGGGAGTTTTCCCAGATAGAGAATTATTTTTTGACAATTACATTTTTACTATTTCTTCTTTCTTTCCTCCCTTCCTTCTTCCATCTATCCATTCATCTACCTATCTATTATCTTTTCCAATAACTTTCTTTTGTGTTTTCTAAATCTCCCCAAGAACTTCTTTCAATTGGATTTTTAGTAGTATTATACTGATCTTTTGTGCCTTTTAATTTGCATCTTTTATTTAAATCCTTTTCTGTTGATATTGTACATTTTGAAATATTTCACCAGATTAAAATTCCAAATAATCATTTCCTTTTCATCCCTATTCGTTTTATAGTTCAGTCCATCTACAATTAACTCTTTAATTTGGCCATACTTTTTTTTATTATTATAGTTTAAGTTCTGGGATACATGTGCAGAACGTGCAGGTTTGTTACATAGGTATACACATGCCATGGTGGTTTGCTCCACCCATCAACCTATCATCTACATTAGGTATTTCTCCTAATGTTCTCCCTCACCTAGCCCCCCAACCCCCGACAGGCCCCAGTGTGTGATGTTCCCCTCCTGTGTCCATGTGTTCTTATTTTCAACTCCCAGTTATGAGTGAGAACGTGCAGTGTTTGGTTTTCTGTTCTTGTGTTAGTTTGCTGAGAATGATGGTTTCCAGCATCATCCATGTCCCTGCAAAGGACATGAACTCACCCTTTTTTATGGCTGCATAGTATTCCATGGTGTGTATGTGAATTTTGGCCATGCTTTTTATTCTTCTGAACTTACTTCTATGTTCTGATTATTTCGTTCCTGTGGTGTGTATTCTTATTTTATGGATGAGATATCTTCTAAATCTCTTTGGAGATACTCGTTAGAAATTTTTGCTGCCATTTTTTTTTTCATCCCCTGAATTATCTTCTTCATCTGAGGTTTTCTGTTTTATTTTGCAGACTTCTATCTTGTGCTATTTTTCTCTAAATGTCTGATAACATTTGGTGTCTGATTACAGTCACAAAGGATTTCGTGTATTAGGTGGCTTGTGTGACTTATTCTGCAGTTGTAAGGTTCTGCTTGCCTATCCAGCCTCAGCCTGCCTGGCAGAGCCACTGTGCACTCTGCCAGTGGGTGGGGCATGCTGACTGGCAGACTTCACTTTAGAGTGCAGGGCCATGGAATAGAGGCAGACAACCTGTTCTCTTCACCCCATTGCCATCTGCTAATAGCTGAAATTAGGAGGACTGTGCTTAGGTCATGGTAGATTTTAGCCTATTTGCCTACTAGGGTAAAAATGGATATTCCAGTGATTATCAAGGTTAGGTATTTACAATTACATAAATCTGCCTCATATATTTTCATTTTTCCTTCTCAAAAAATTACCATTACCAAAGCCCTCAAACCTGGCCTCAGTCCTGGGATCAAGATGATCCTTTTCATCATTGGCATTTTTCTGCATTAGAAGAGGAGTCATTGCTGTCTCCCAGCTAACACTTTACAGCCCTATTCTCCTGTG